AGATTAAACCACTAGTGAGTACATGGGCCCAGCCGTGCAGTCGGAAACCTGTCGCGACAAGAAAACTGAAGCGGCCCAAACGTCGAACGCTGGGCCTGTCATTGATAAATTGGATCGGCGGTTGCATTCTCGTTTTGCGCTTCCAGAATTCGAGGTGTCAGACCCGCGGCCCAGGTGCCCATGTACTGGTGCTTTAAGGAATGGGCAGCTGTGCGGATGTTTTCCATCTGTTTCTTAAGGAGTTGTGGTGGGTTGTGAGGAACAGTCTGTCACAGCCCCCTACCTTTGTGTCCTTTTCTCCCCTTCTGTTAATGGTTTACTAGGCGGTTCTGGACACATACAATGACGGGGATGATGCAGAAGTAGTTACGTAGGTAGTGAGTGAGTGAGTGAGTGAGGGAGGGAGGGAGGGAGGGAGGGAGGGAGGAGCAGGAGATGTAAGACGCAGAAGCATAAAGGGGTGGAATACAGACAAAGAATAGATGCCCTGGGCGGTGGGTTGGAGGTGACGGAAGAAAGAAACTCGTTCAGAAATGAGATCCGTGAAGTAACCAAAGAAAGAGAGCAAGAGGCATGTGGAGACATGCACACACAGAGACAGAGAACGAGCAGAAATGTACCCAGCAAGTGAAGGAAGAGCAGCAAACAGAAAGAGAGAAAGACACTGCCGAGCGGAACATAAAGAGGAGGGGGTAGAGACACTGCCGAGCGAAACACAAAGAGAGGGGGGTAGATTGTGGGAAAAGAGAAAAGCGGAAGAGGGACAAAGTGAAAGAGGGGAAAGAAACAATCATAAGGTTGAAGAAGGGGAAGAATAAAACATGCAGAATGAGAAGGCAGAAGCATCAGAGAGTGAACGAAGAAAGAGAGCAAGAGCCATGTGGAGACATACACACAGAGAAAGAGATAGCAGTAAGTGAAGGAATGAGCAACAAACAGAAAGAGATAGAGACACTGCCGAGCGGAACACAAAGAGGAGAGGGTAGATTGCGGGAAAGAAGAAAAGCAGGACATGGACACAGTGAAAGAGGGGAAAGAAACAAACATAAAGTGAAAGAAGAGCAAGAATAAAACATGAAGAATGAGAGAAGGCAGAAGCATCAGAGAGTGCACAATAGCAAGAGGGGGAGCCCAGGTGCAAGGGCCAGATAGTCAGTCAAAGGGCTGTGATTCGGTGGAACTCCACTTCGCCTCCCCTCCTGCCCCAGGCGCATTGGCATGACTTGTATCGCTCTTTGGTCAGTGGCAGGCGGCCACTTGTTTCCTCCATCCCCTTTCTCTCTCTGGCCTTGTGATAGGGTTTTGCGAAACGTCTATTCGCAAGATCATGACAATGAGGGCAACATAGTAATGACTCGTGATGACAACGACAAGTGTGTGGCAAATAAGCGAGGGGGAAAAAGATGAATGAAAGTATACAAGAAAGCACTAGTGGGAGGTTGTTTATCTCCCTTTTTTTGTTTCTAAATATAAAAGAAGTAAATCTACAAGAAAGCAGCAGTCAGAGGCTGTTTATCTCCCCTTTTTTTATATCTAAGGTAGGGCGGTCTTCATGTGGTCTTACGTTATCAACTAAATACAAACTTAGGTCTTTGAGAAAAACAGTGTATCGGTTGGGCAAGGATCTCAAGTGCCCAGAAACGGGTACAACGTTCTATAAACCTAGCAATTATCATCGATCGATCGTCGTGCCTCCGTGTTGTGCTGCTGACTCGTGATAATAACTGGAATTGCATGGCCATCTGCCCCGCGTACACAGCATGCCAGATAAGCTCGGTACTACGGGGCTGCACGTCTGCAGGCAGGTGGCAAATGATTTAGACACGGTTACACAAGTCCAATGAAAACAGGCCAACTCAGAACTTTTGGCCACATGGTAGGGAGCTATCAGCCATTCTAAAGTCTCAGCGGTTACATTCCTGTGCAATGCTTCACAGTTATCAAACCAGAAGAGCAATATTTCAGTTCTCTCTCATTCTTGATTTCCATTGTTTTCGTGAAGGCAACCCTTCATGACTGTGAATGAAGTGCATGTGTGTTTTTTTTTTGGGGAGGGGGGGAGAGGGAGAGAGAGAGAGAGGGCGGGTGGAGGGTGGAGGAAAACATACGGCCAGTCAGAGCAGCAGGCAGACAGGGAGAGCGGCAGGGAGGCAGGCCGAGCTGTTGATCGTCTGGGTGGTGAGGTGTGTCAGAGAGAGAGAGAGAGAGAGAGAGGCGCACACCTAGAATGTCGGCAGATCAGCAGGCAGAGCTGTTGTCCGAGGCTTGGAGCTGTTTGGAATGTGAGTTGCTCTACGGAGTAGGGCTGGGGGTTTTGTCGAGGTGGCAATGAAGCAGAGACACTGGTAGATAGTTTGGCCTGTGTCGGAGTCCCAAGATGCCGGTTCGTTTTGCGGTGTGGAAGGGGACAATAGTATGAAAACAAGTGGAAGAAACTTCTGGAAAAGCAGAAGGATTCATGGACTGGGAGAGTGAAGGGAGCTTGCACATTTTTCCTGGTTGTTGAGCTTGTGCGAAGGCTATCCTTTGGAGCTGTCAGGGATTAATTTAGTGACCCATTGAGATTGGAGATGCAACAGGACGCATGGCAACGGAAACCAACGAGCCTAGCGCAGAGGGTGGAGATCATTAGCCCATCTGGTCGACAATTGAGGGCATATTCAGAGTAGGACTTTCCTAGATGCACTTGACAGAAATGGAGCCAGATCTACCAACGAGCCTAGCGCAGTTGGTACGCCCACGGACTGTAAGACAGACTCAAGTTCGAATCCAGATACAATCAGATGCGCAGAATAAAATGATTGTGAATTACCTGGGGATGGTGATCTTCCATTATTCTATCGCAACACCATCGCCCTTGACAAAAAAAAAAARAAAAAAGAAAAAAAAAAAGAGCCAGATCCAGTTTAATAAATCTTTTTTTCTGTTAGTACTCCCTGAAATAGAGCATGGGAGGGTATGATTTTATGGCTCTGATGAGAAATTCTAAAGACTAGAGATCATTTGACCCTCTCTCTCTCTCTCTCTCTCTCTCTCTCTCTCTCTCTCTCTCTCTCTCTCTCTTAGATGGAAACAACTGTACCGAAAGGGAAGCTCCGACAAATAGCCCAAAAAGTTGAAGGCTGTTAACTTCTTCAATTTTGTACTGGGGCGGCGGCTCGAAGTAGATGGCCAGCCTTTTTCTTCATTTGGCCCTGGTTAACTGTATTTGGGCTTCTTCTCTGACTCTTTCTTCCGTCTTTTTTTTTTCCGAAAGGGCGGCGGCCTTGAGATAACATCGTTGAATGGACGGCCCCGGGCAATTCAGGGGGACTTCAGTCTGTTCGCCTGATAGTATGTGGATTCGAACTTGAGTCGGTATTTCAATAGTTCATGGGTGTACCAACTGAGCTAGGGAAGTTGGTAATATGACGCAATTATAGTGATAAATGTAATTTCCAAAATGGAGTGTTATTTCTGTAGTGTTAGATCGGAGAGAACAGGAAATTGAACCATTATCCTTCACCAATAGGCCCTTTATATCGCGGTAGTTAACGGCTCACGGAACTCTAAAGGAAACTGATACGTACATCTCCTATTCCCTGTGCAACCGGAGCCTCTTCTTAACTGCCGCATTCTCGCAGGTACCGGGCCAAGGCATTGGTTTTAAATGGAATGCCGCAAACATGAAGAGGGCACACGATTCATGCTCAGTCTGAGGGCCTCTTCTATGCTTCCAATTTTCGAAAGCATATCTTCATCGCACAAACTCTCCTTCCTTGGTTGTCAACACCGCAGGATGATGTGAAACGTGGTTTGAGCTGAATGTTTATTAGCCACAGTGTCTGTTATTCGCATTGCTTACCGTCTCTTTTCTATCATTGCCTGTCTGCATGGGCACTTGTTTTTTTGACTCTCAAGTCACTCAGCTGACCATCCACAATCTTTTTCTCCATAACTAATACACCTATGGTTACACAGATACTGTTTTCTTTAGTTTGTGTATGGATGTGCGTGGATACTTGTAGTCGGTAGAATGTGTGACTAAAAAAGTGGGTACGGACGTAGTTCAGCTGGTACACACAGGAACTGTTGGAACACAGACCTGAGTTCAAATCCAGATCGATCTACACAGACCTGAGTTTGAATCCAGATCGATCTACACAGACCTGAGTTTGAATCCAGATCGATCTGGCAAGGGGGGGAAGATTTACCATCCAGGACCTCATACGCACTAATAACAGAATTGGAATTGGTTTCAATGGTAGGAGCATATAAATGACTACCGTCTTCACCCGAATATAACGCCCTGTCATTATAGCCGTATTTGGGGTGCTTTTCAGTCCAGGTGCCGCGATAATCACCAGGTGTCTGTCCAGGTGAAGACGGCAGTCTATGCGTTCACAATTTCACACCGGGCGTTCTATTTGGGACCTTTCTTGTCTTGTTGACAGCGTGGCCACGTAGAGAACCCCCCCTGGCCTGTATCTGTTTGTGGGGTGCTTGACCTCTCTGAGCAGATGGTAACGAGGGCAGGTTTCAAAATTCAAACCTTTCTTTTTTTTTCCCCCCCTTTTTTTACACCAAAAAAAAAAACAGGCCCTTATGGTCCTGGCTCCATATCCATTCTGGGGAGTGTCGGTCCGGTTCCTATTCCCCCGACAAGTCAAATTAGCAGTATTACATCATATACCCACTCACGCATCTTTCCGTCTGGCGGAAGGATCCCTGATCAGCATTGATTAACAAAATTCAAAACTTCCGACTCGTTGATAAAGATGAGACTTGTTTGCTTCTCATCTATTGAAGGGATTGCGTAATGGATATGGTCTTCTGTTAGTGTGCCAGTGCGTCTTCAGGTCCGAGTTTCTTTCGTGGATTCGTCGTTGTGATTGGACTAGACTGGACTGAAGACCTCAAATTGGTGGGTTCCTTGTGGTGATCTAATGTCTTTTTTTTAAGGGATTTTGGTATGCAATAAGCTAACCGCCCTCTGGAATTTTTGGTGTAATTTTCTGCAGGTTAATAAGGCGATATTCTGACAAATCATCATGCTATTGATGACTTGGATGAACTCCTACTCTGTCGAGGCGGAGTGCCAGAGCATCTGGAGCGAGAGTCCATGAACGATCATCACCTTGATGATGGAGTATGCCCTCCACAGGGATGCCGGTCGGTACTGCACCTTTTTTCCTTTCCATACTATCCATAGTTCATTTCCTTCCTCATGATGATGGAGTATGCCCTCCACAGGGATGCCGGTCAGTACTGCACCTGTTTTTCTTTCCATAGTTCATTTCCTTCCTCGTGTGAATGGTAACCCTAATACACAACGAATCCACGAATGAGAATCCAGTCACAGGCCTTGCCAATCATGTCCTATTGATTCTCATCACAACGAATCCACGAATGGGAATCAATAGGACATGATTAGCAAGGCATGTGACTGTCTCCCGTCTCTATCTCATGTTTTGAGCTGACAGGCCTCAACAACAGCATTGAGGGGGAAGCTGCTTGGAAGCAGCAGAAAGGGAGAAACTTCTGCACTACTAGCAGAATTATGGCGAAGGGCTCACACCAGGGCTCTTTTACTTCTTCATTTGTTTCATCAAGTGCTTAGTGCACTGTTTTAGTCCATAGATCAGTACTCTTCGCATTCGGTAAAGACTGAGTTTTACGGTGTGATTACTAATCAGTGATCAGTACTATTCACGGCATTTCTAAATGCGTTGTTGCGAACTGTTAGTGTGTTGTTTCCCCTTTCTCTGTTGTTGTGAACTGTCTTTTGAATCTTTGCATCAGATAACGAATTGCATCTGTTGGTTAGTGTTGTTTTCTCTTTCTTGTTGTTGCGAAAATGTCTATTGAATGAATTTGAATCTTTGCATCAATCAGTTCCTACTCAATCTCAGGAGCGTGTTTTTCTTTGCTTGGAGAGAGAGAGAGAGAGAGAGAGAGAGAGAGAGAGAGAGAGAGAGAGAGAGGGAAAGGGGAGGAGAAGCGCAATACACTGGGTGAGAGAGAGAGAGAGAGAGAGAGAGAGAGAGAGAGANGAGAGAGAGAGAGAGAGAGAGAGAGAGAGAGAGAGAGAGAGATGGGGAGGGAAAGGGGAGGAGAAGCGCAATACACTGGGTTAGAACTTACAAAGCCATTCTGCATCATCGGGGTTACAGATGCGTCTGTGTGTGTGTGTGTGTGTGAGAGAGAGAGGATAGAAAGCAATTCTACACCATTGGGATTACAGCTGTGACACGTGTGTGTGTGTGTGTGTGTGTGTGTGTGTGAGAGAGAGAGAGAGAGAGAGAGAGAGAGAGAGAGAGAGAGAGGGAAAGGTGCAGGAGAATTACAACTAGAAAGCAATTAAGCAATTCTGCATCATCGGCATTACAACTGTCAATATTAGGATCATCCCCTGTATTTCGAACGTGGAGTTCTAAGTCGTCTCGTAGTAGCTCACCACTGTGACCGTCCTAGCATCTGGTCCACCAAAGATTTCATTGGTTTGTGATCAACAGCCTTCTCAAGGTCAAATCTTTTGCAGTGGTTGACAGGCCTTTGCTATCATTCAGCATCAGCATTCTCCTCCTGTAGGTCTTTCCTAACAGGAGGCTTTGGATGATATTTTGGCACACAGTTGCCTACCATGATAGGGTGTTTATGCAGAACATAGTGCTGTTGAGAAGGAATTGATGCCTGTCCATGCATCGTGCATGGTTGGTGGTGTTTGTCACAAATTGACCGCCTTCTTACTTACGTCACTCCTAGCTTTTAGGTCTTCTGTGGAGGAAACTCCTAAATAATGGTAGATCTGTGCACAATAGCAATCTCAGGGATGCTATATGTGCATACGACTGGTTCACTTGCTCTTCCGTCAGGGGCTTTGCATCCGTGATTATGTTACAGTCTGTCCTTTCGACGTGCACTCACTTTCATTGCGGTACAGGGTGGACTGTTGTCATCACCCTACAGCACATGAGGTTTGGGTATGAGATGAACGTGTGTAGATTGATGAATGATCTGGGTGGTGGGACGGAGCATTGCCGGTGTAGAAAATTTTCCTTGCTGGTGTTTGGTGGTGTTGTTGTTCTCGGCGTTGCTGTTTGGACCGCCTGTGCTTGGGAGTGTCCTTAGGCGATTCTCTGGGCCCCTGTTGTGTTCTTTTTGAATAGAGTGCATCTTTAGGGGTATAGAAAATGTGGCAACCTTAGGGCAAACAGAGCTATATGCCGTTCCTTAGGGGCAAGACAGTAAATCGATGGCAAAGCTTGGCTGTTTGCGGCATGCAGTCTTCTGTGTCTATCTCCATGATTATCTATTAGGAGATTTGTGCTGGAGCTGTCTGTTTGCTAGGTGGTGATTTTTGGGAGCGATAACTGTTTGCCGAGTGAAAGAGGTGATGTCAGTCTTGAGTGGATGGGAAATAGTTGGAGGTAGACATACATGTTGGCCCTAGGAAGTTGATGAGATAGCGGCAAAAATGGTTCGTGATACAACACCGGATAATGCCCTGACCAATTTTTGTTTATTTATTTATTTTCCCAAAAATGCACTCTGTCTTCTCCTCATATGGGAGACAGATGGATTTAGCTACACTAGTTTCTTCTTCTCTCAATTTCTTGCCTTCCTTAATCTACCTACCTTTTTTCTTTGTCTACCTGCTCATCTCAGCATGTGACCTTATCCGCCCAAGGCAACCCAGCACCACAACCCAATACCCCAGGCACCCGACACCCCAAGCGCAGACAGCAGCTATAAGCTATCCGACGGTTATGGGTGAGACGAGTACCGCTTTTAATACCCTAACCCTAAGCTAAGCTATCCTACGGTGAGACGAGTACCGCTTTTAAATACCCTAACCCTGAGCTAAGCTATGCTACGGTTATGGGTCTATGTCTACCACCCTCTGCTCAGTGTGGGGAGCAGTACCCAGGCTGCTAACACCTGGCATAGGCCGGAACAACGTTTCTTAACCAGCCAGGAGGCCCAAAGCCGACAATCTCTGGCGGTGAAAACCGGAAGTATACCCCAAGGAGGCTTGTGGGAATTGAAAGGACGGCGTCGGGAATCGAACCCGCGACCTACTGAGTGCCACTTACGTGCTCAACCAACTGAGCTAGCCCGCTTGGGCTTCCTGACCAATGGTTTTCCTCAGTCTGCAGTAGGGCTTTGGATTTCTTTTTGAAGTATGTGGCTTTTGCAGAGCTTTTGAGGCAAAACGTTGTGTCGGCTTTTCAATTCCCCTAGGGGACAGGACTACGAGACCGGCTTTTGATGGGCTGGGGGGCAGAATCCTGGTGCGATTATACATTTGACTATTATTACTGATTATGGAACGGTTACAAGTATACCCTACCGTCTTCCCCCGAATAGAAAGTACGGTCGTTATCGCTGTATCTAGACTGAAACTTGCCCAAATACAGACCTAATGACCGTACGTTCTACTTGGGGGAAGAGCATAGCCAGCAAGTTGTCATACTATGGTAATGTGTTTGCAACTTGGCATTTACGAAAGCCAAAAGAAAGAAAAAAAAGATACCTTGATTCTGAAAGTGTAGCAGTTTTTTTTTGTTGTATGTGGATAACCAGGTGGTGGTTGTGATATGGGTTCTGCTCATCATTAGGGGATTCGCGATGTGAGCAGATTTGGGGTTAGCGGAAATATCTTTTGTCACCACACGGTTAAGGGGCCCTGCTCATCATTAGGGGATTCGTGGGCCAAATCCTGCCGGATGTGGAATACCAGGAAATGTATCAAAGTGATTTGGAACATGAGAATGTACAACTAGAAAGCTTATTTTGATTTATTGTGGGTCCTGTGTTGGAGAATGCTTCAGTTGGGAGGTGCGCCGAGCGACTTTTTGCCAAATTGGAATGGAAGTAGTAGCGCTGTTTGTCCACATGCATGGTTGATGGGCTCATCGGCTCACTGGTTGCAGACTAGCTTGGACATTGTTAGTGATTGAGTATTCTAGATGATGCCGTATGAATGTGGGATGATCATCGGAAATCTTTTGTAAAACTAAAGCTCTTGCGAGGGCGGGCATGAGTGGACGCTGGAGCGGAGAATGATACTGGGGTCGAAAAGACAGGTAGTGATGGAGGCATGAGGGCGACGCTGAATATGGAGGAGAGGTATGGAGGAAAGGGGAACCTGGTTCGGCAGGGTGGAGAGAGAGAGAGAGAGAGAACTGCATATTCATGAATGCCCATGGAATTGAGGTGGGAGGTGGATGAGTGTGTGTGTGTGTGTGTGTGTGTGTGTGTGTGTGTGTGAGAGAGAGAGAGAGAGAGAGAGAGAGAGAGGTGGTGTAGGGTAGGGGAGGGAAGGACTGTTCATTGGTCCTGGATGATGCAGAGCGTGGGCCAGTGGAGGTGAATACTGAACAGTTTGGGAAGGCTAGGCAGTGTGCAGCAGCAAGGTTGCATGTGTGCTTGACTCTGTGTATCTTCTTCTACCTGAGGACTGGCAGACAGACTGTGTAGCTGACAGAAGGACATCGTGGTGTGTTCAATGCAGTCACACTTCTAATCGAAGATTTTACAGTAGAGAAGACAGCAGAAGCGGCTGTGCCATGGATGGGAACCTTCGATGGCCTAAACGAGCACGTGCATGCATTACGAGTAGTAGAACAGCTGCTGGGACGGACCACCACGACAGCTTCAGAAGAGTGTTGCAGTCTCCTTCCGTCGCCGAAGAGGTGATCCTTCCTTGATTGCCTCTCTTCTTTCCCTTGCTTGCTGTTTTCCTCTCTTCTCTGCTTTGCTTTTGTCTGTGACTGCTGGAGCATGGATTTTTTTTTTTTGTCCTTTTCGTTTGTGGTCTTTTCTGTTTCCACCCTCTCTGCTTTCTGCTTGCAACCTTTTCAGCATTGACAACCTGGATCGCGAACGTTTTTGCCCGTCTTAGCAGTCTATTGGACGCTATCCTCTCTTTTGCTATTTTCATCTTCTTCGTTTGACATCTAGCATTCTAGTGACCTTCACTGCTCTGGATCACTAGCTTTCTAGTTAATGAGTCTGGCAAGGTCTTAGTTGTCCACTGTCTTGAGCATGTCGGTGCACCCAAGGAATGAAGGATTGCGGATAGTGATGATCAGGTGAACCAATATTGGGCGGGTAGAGTTCTCGGTCGGCATGGGGCACGCTGGTTTAGTCAGGAGTCAGGACACATGTATCTGAGCATGTTTTTTTTTTTTTGTTCGTCATTATCGTTTGTGGTCTTTTCTGTCCCTATCCTCTGCTTTCTGCTTGCAAACTTTTCCGCGTTGGCAACCTGGATCCTACATTCTACTGGACAAACATTCTCTCCCATCTTAGCAGTCTATTGGACTCGATTCTCTCTCGCTTTCGTCTCCGTTTGACATTCTACTGGACCTTCACTGCTCAGGATCACTAGCTTTCGAATAGGAAGTCTAGTCTCTAATTAATTAGTCTGGCAAGATCTTACTTGTCCACTGCCTCGAACATACCGATGCGCCCGAAGGATCGAAGGCAGTGATGATCGGGTGAACCAATATTGGATGCGGAGAGATCTTGGCACGGGGTACATTCGTTTAGTCAGGACACATATATTTGGGCAGGGGCAGGATTCCATGTAGAGTGAACTCCTTGTACGTGATGCGAGACGACTATCAGGATTCCATGTAGAGTGAACTCCTTGTACGTGGTGTGAGAAGACTATCCTACACTTCTTCCCGCCTATAAGGAACTGAAGCGGCATGTCACGTCATCACCAGGAAATTTCAGTAAAAAACAAAAATGGTAAAATAATAAAAATATGGGTCAGAGTTTTTTGAACTTTTTTCAGATATTCCTATCACCCGGAAATCTAGAGACGTAACGATCGGAAAGGGATTCCGAAGAATCGCAATGAAAGTGAAAGGGATGTGAAATTGTCAATCAAACCTGCCCATTTCATGATGTTGCTGGGGATATCCAGGCTTGCCACGTAACTGACGACTGCTGCATTGGGTGTTGCATTGCTCCGGTAGGTGCAAAATTAAGTGGAGCGGGCTGTGCAACACATGCGAGCCTGTTGCTGATAAGATGGAAATCATAATTTATAAGGTTATGTCCGAGTTGTAGAGGGTGATTCTGATTAGTAGGGGAGTTCTTCTTGGAGTTGGTGTTGTCCTGAGTTCAGTTGATGCGTTCAAAAGTAAGGGGGGTTGCAGGCCCATGCTCGAGAGAGTGAGGTCCACTCGAAACAGGCAGTTCTTGAATGGCGTGTTTGATGGTCGTCCTTCATTAGTGGGTGGTCGTTCTGTGATTAGGTATCTTTGCAAGCACACGTGTTGGTTTTTGTGTATACTCTTTTTTTTTTTTGCCCTGCAAATTGTTATGTTGGAGAGTATGGTTCCTTTGGAATCCTGGAAGCACTTTTTTTTGCCCTTTTTTGCTCTCAGATTTCTGGGTTTCGATGTTTTTGGATCACAGTGCGCGTGTTATATTTACATACCTTAGGCACTTCCAGGGGGTACTCACGCTAGGCTGTTTCTGGAGGTACCTGGCCCCGATTATGGGCAGTGTAAGTCCAAATGAGTATGCCCGTGCACTGACTTGTCTATGGGGGCGTCATGAATGATTGAACAACAGCTCAAGACTTTTGTTCTTCCCGGGGATGCTCACGCTAGGCTGGTTCTCGAGGTACCTGGCCCGGATTATGGCCAGTGCAAGTCTGGAATGAGCTAGATTTGACATGTCCTTGCACTGACTGGTATAAGGGGGGCGTAATGAATGATTGAGCAAAAGCTCACGACTTTTGTTCTCGCCGGTCCAATGTGCTATGATGCATGCTACTGCATGGGAAAGGAGAATCGGCTCTTTCTTGATCAGGAGTGAAGAACTAACTGTTCAATGCCTTCCCCAATCAGTGGTCTGATCTTCTGATAAAAGTGAGATTGTGAACTTGTGTGAATTACCTTGTATCCCTAACAGTCTGGCAGTTATAAACTTGTGTCTTTTCTGGATTGGGAGAAAATTGAAGGTGGCATCGTTGACGTGCATTGTGCAGGTGCGTCCCTTTCCAAGAAGGTCGATGCCCTCTGGCAGCAAAACGAGCGGGTGCACGGCTGTGCCGCCTGTGCAGCCGTCAGAAAGGGGGACTGTGGCTCTCAGAGAAGCAGACAACATGGTGGGAACGGCAGAGCAAGATACCGTGTCAGTGTACGATGGCGGTGGCGGTGGATCGCCAGTGGCGAAGAGATTCTGGGCTCATCAGGTGGTGATGTTGGCGAACGCAGCGGAAATTCTTGAGGCAAGTAGCATGAAAGCGAAGAGCAAGTGGGCAAGGGAAACAGCGGGAAGAAATGGGAAGGTGCCAAAGAGTGCAAAGCTTGGATCATGGAGAGCGAGGAGCGAAGGAACGGAAAAGGAGGGATGTCAGGAGGACGTTGACAATGCGGAAGACCAGGAGCAAGCTGCTCTTGGACTGACAGAATTGGCGAGCCTTGTAACGGCGCAGGCGATCATTGTCCCTGTCCTTGTGAAGGTTCATGAAACTGGTTTAAATGAGGGGGTTAAGAAGTCGATTGTGGAGCGAGAGGGCAGAGAAGGTGCCAGTGGTGCAATAGACGATGCAGTCTTCCACAACCTGTGCCGCGTCAAGCAGTCGGAAACTGCTGAGGATGGAGGGGACGTTAGAGTCAAGCCAAGAATGGAACCAAAACAAGGAGGGGCTTGCAGGCAAGGACGGTTTTCTAAAGCTGACATGGGAATTGACTGTGAAGGGGGCGGCAAGAGCGAGAGCAGTCAAGAGGGAAGAAGCGACCTGTCGGTTGAGTTGGTATCGGAGATCCGTCCTAAGCATTCCTTGGAGTTTGCATGCACCACCGCCGAGGGAAATGGCAAGGCGGCCATGCATGAGGAGCGTGTGGTTCGTGCCGGTCCACACGGGGAACAGCGAGTCGGGGAGGGGGCATTTGTTGCGAGGGACGATGAAGAGGAGGTTACGGCAAGGCACATGGCGGAGAGTAAGGATGGAATGGGGATATGGGAGAAGGAAACTGAAGAAAGGGAGAGTGATAGTCAACAGGAGACAGGGAATTTGAGTGGGGGTAATTCTTTTGAGAAAGAGGAAGAAGAGATGTGGGAGCAAGAGAACGGGAACGAGATGGAGAAGGATAGGGAATTCGACAGTGATGAGAAAGAACACGAGGTGAACGATGAAGAGAGACAGATAGAAGAGGGGAGGTGTAGAGATATGTTTCATGATGTTGACATTTTGAAGGAGAGGTCAAGGAGGTATACACACAGCATGGAAGGCATGCAATCAGAGGAGGGGACTGAGGAAGGTGGGTGGGCGGACGGCAAATGCACGAGTGATGTCAAGACCGAAGGGGTAAGCATAATTAGAAAAGCACAGGAAAGGGAAAAGGATAAAGGCATGGAGATCAAAATGGTGAAAGAGAGGGACAGGGAGGAAAGGAGTTGGAAGGGGGAGGACATGAGCGGTGTGAGTGTAGGTGCCAGGGGAGGAATGCTGGGCGGCGTTTTACAGAGACAAGTCAGCATAGAGCAATACGATGGGAGGAAGGTAGAGGTTCCTGGGAAAGTAGGTGTTGCAAAGGGCCGACGCTCTTTTGCGAAGAGGAGAAAGGAAGGTCTATCTGTGGGTGATTGCGAAGCTGGTAAAGAGAATGGGTTCTGTCCTCCAAACAGCTTGCCCATTTCAGATCAGGACAAGGAGACTCCCACTGGTGAGTACCTAGAAATAAAATCCTGGCGGGCCACTCGGTCAGTCGTCTGCATCTAGAAATTTGACTTAGGTCTCGATTTGCAATTTGACTGATAAGGCACTTAGAGAAAAGAATGGTGCACTGTCCTTACCCTTGAGATCTTTATGATGCTTATCTCATTGCTTTCCTGCCTGTCTTGTCAATCCTTTGCTCTCCTTCCAAGTTGTACATGGAGTCCACTGTGTTGTTTATGAAGAAATATACAGGTTGTGGAGAGTGTGAGTCAATTAGTGCACAGTGAGGTTCAGCTCGTTGTTGTGCCCGGGTTTAGTTCTATGACAAAACCATAACTCTTTTTTCTGATTCGAGTCCAAACTTTGCTTTGAAGGTCAAGGAGAAAGCAGCAGCAGAGTAGAAGGTGATAACTGATATGCGTGAGCTCTGTGATGCAGTTTGTGCTGAGCGGGCGCTTCCAAGAAGACGGCGGAGGCGGATATCACAGGAAGGAAGTTGGGTAAATGGTGACCATTCCCATAAGGACGAGCAAAATAACCGCTGTATGCAACACTGGGGGCGAGTTGAGTTGCAGCAGTGGCATGGAAAGCGGGATATGAAGCCGGAGGTTCCGGCTCTGGTCGAAATGCTGCCAAGCCCGGGAAATGGGGTAAGGAGTGAAGATTCTGGCTCGCCTAGCCAAGCGGTACCAGTACCCGTCTCTCAAGATATGCTAGAAGCCCAGAAGTTGGAGGTTAATGGGAAAGGGACTGTGTGGAAGAGAGTTGGCAAAGGAAACGAGGGAGAGGAGGAGGCAACAAGCATGGAGAGGGGGGAGAGAAACGGAATCGACGATCTGGTGATGCTGCTTCGGGCGAAGAGGCAGAGCCACGATTCAGGCTCCCTACGACATGAGGAAACGGAGTCCTTCGGTAACAGAGGGTTGTTAGGTCGGGAATCAGACGCGGAGAGGGAGGAAGGAAGCAGGTTGGATTGGGTTGAGGCGAATGCTGCTTGCAGTTTGCGGAATGAACAGAGGGAAGAAACGACACCTCTCTCTGAGGATATAGTAGGTTTGCATACGCCTCAGCAGATGAGTCGTGGCCTGACAGGGTCATCAGTTTCGCCCATATGTTCAACTGGCGGGTGTAGCGGTGTGAGGATTCCGACGGGCAGGAGAGGAGAAAGGGGAGGGGGTAATGCCCAGGGTCTCAGTGCAAGCCCTGGCTTATTGCCCAAGGCTGCTGTGGACTTGGATTTGCGGTTGGGAGGAGGCAGTGAGTGCAAGGAATGCACTCCTGAGACACCACAAGGGTCTTGTGACAGCCGGCATGTAGTAGGAGGGGTGCTGAAAAGTGGGAGATCATCGCGAGGAGGTAAGGCAGCGGCGTTTCTGCAGCGCTGTGGAGCCAAGCTATACCAGCAGCAAACTGATGCAGCATTGCTTAGCGGGTCGTCTATTGTCTCTGCTGGCAATGCGTGCGATTTGTTAGGATCGTCAGGGACCTGTCCTGTGAGCGCAGTGTTACCGTCAAAACATGTACATGCTGCTCAACACCAATTTCCAGCCTCAGACACCGGGGACCGGCAAGGTGCACAAGGTGCATCATCGTCCCCTGCGGATGCAGAAGTTTCGGCGGAGATGGCAGACCAGGATTGCTCTCATGTGGATGTCATGGAGGATGATAGTCGGCAAACAAGGGTGATTGATGCGAAGCTGAATTTTCACATGGAGCAAGGGGGTCCGGTTTCACCGACTGCATTTGAAGGACAGCCTGCCGGATGCTCATCCCCAGAACCGCGTGATGGTTTGGGTACAGGCGAGGGAGTCAGTTGCTCAAGTGGGAGGGGAGACAATGATCAGGCGGCCTGTGAAGAAGACGACTGTATCCGACTCGACGATGAAAGGCAAGCTCGGTGCGATATGGAGGGAGTGGAATGCCGTTCACATAGAGTGGGAGCAGCACGGTCCATAGATGTGGGTGAGGCGGAAGGTTGTGTGGATGGAGGGAAAACAGGAAGGGGTTCAGATCTTCCAACCAGTCCAGATGATGATCAAGTGGATAGCCTTGGAAAGAAGAGAGTGAATGCTGCTCTTAATGTGGACCATTCTTGTTCCAAATTACTGAGGGGGGATAGACATGGACAGCAAGCGTCAACGAGCCAAGTCGCAGAAGAGAAGGATTTACCTGCCTTGATGTGTGAATTCGGGGCCTCCGGTCCAATGAATGATGAATCTGGTCCTTCTCAACAAGCGGAATGTGGCGATTGCACTGCAGAACGACATCCAGTATCACCGAAGGTTATTCCAGCAGAAGGTGCAGCCTCGACTGCTCGACAGAGGCGGACGGCAGCACAGCAAAATGCGGCTTCACCCCTGGATAAGCCACCTCAGACAAATGCGTGTGACAAAGGAGTAGAGCAGCCTGCTGCAACTAGCGAGCCTTTGCAGTCGTCACCGACCCCGGAGCGAAAGACAGGTCAGTTGGCAAGTGAAACCGTGTGTAGGGTGAAAATAGTGAGCTCGTGGACTGACGAATGTTTGGTGTGTATTGTGCACATTGTGAAGAAAGGGTCGGCCACGCCTGTTCGTTAAATTGCTCACATGGGGAGGGAAAAGCGGAATGCAAACGAGGGAAATCTTGTCAGTGTGTGGAACGCAAAGGTCCAGCACTACCCGCCGGGTGTGCTACCACTTGAGAGACGACCCCAGTGCATGTGTCCCTTTGTCTGCATATTTTCTACGTTTCTGTTCGGTTATATGTAGAAGCCCAGGATGCCTCCTGGCCGTCTTTTTGCTTGTTCATGGTCTTGGGACACCACGCCTTCCATATCACCCACATTTTTGTGGTCATAATCATATTGGATGGAATCAAACCACGGTTTGACAGATTTCACGGAGAGCAGGTTTGATCAATTCAGAAAAGAAGCTTGAGGGGTGGAACAGCGAAGGCAAATCAAATCAAGGTTTATGCAATTTGTGGCAATTTTGTCCGCATCTCAGTGCATAAGAGCAGGCAGTGTACCAAGTCTTCTGGCTTATTATCTACATCATGTGGATCTTGCAACTGTATGGATCCCTGTGTGTCGTCACTCGTGAAGATAACGGGTCACGGGTAGTGCTGCATATGCTATCAACAGTTGGAGGCTTGCGAACCTTTTCTTTTACCCTGGGCAGAGTCGGCACATATTTTCCAGATGATACTTAACACGCTTGTATCCCATGTCCCTTGTCTAGGTGGATGAGATCCTCCATGTTGAGTTCCAGCAATAACTGAACCTGATTGAGTAGCGCCCTAGTGCTTCTGGTTTCTCACACCCCTGAGCCCATTCCTGGGTATGTACTTTCTTTTTTTCCTTTTCGTCCTCTGTTTTGAGTTTTCAGAAGCCATAGCTTATGGCAATGGCTTCTGTCCATTCTGGGGAGTGGCAGTTCAGTTATTTTTCCGCCGGCCCGTGGCGATGGTCTCATGGAGTTGACACTATGTGTCCCTTCTGTTTGACCGAGAGAACCACTTTCTCGTTTCCTGTTTTCTTGTCCGTGTCCTCTCCTACTCTCTCTTTCTTTCTCATTTCCCACTGTGAGCTCGGCTACTGGGATGGCAGGCTGGGCCTACCTGATCTGGGGAGAGGTTGGGAGGAGTATGCCTGAGTGACCTCGGCGTACCGAAAAGTGTCCAGGAGTTCTTTTCTTTTTTCTTGTGATGGATGGGCGGCTCTGGGCTTACGTATAGGTGGGCTGCTCTGTGCTTAAGTAGAGGTGGACGGCGCTTGTGCTGCAGAATCCGGCCTTATGTTTGAAATGCTGGTTGATTCAAGAATTTCTGCCGCGTTTGATGGCTGGGTGGCTCTTGTGCTGCAGAATCCGGCCATTTCGTTTGAAATGGCCATTGTTGGTTTTCGGGGTGTGGTGGGGTGGGGGTTGGGGGTTGGGGGGAAGAAGGGGTAGAGGTGGCGGAAGGAAGGGGAACGGGTGGAGAAAAGAAGGGGGAGAGGTTGCAAAAGGACGGCGGAGAGGTGGTGGAATGGAAGGGAAGAAGCGACGGAAGGAAGGGGGAGAGGCTCCCTCTCTTATCTATCTATCTCTGTAAATGCAAGAAAAATGGGAAGATGACGAAGAAGAAGAAGAAAAAAGGGATTATTCTTACCTGTGGGCGTGGAGGGCGCTGGCGCTGGAGCAGGTGCAGGTGAGGGGAGGGATTCCAGGGATGACAACAACGTGATGAAGACAATTATGCCATCAAGGATGGGACAGCGACAATAGACAATAGTGACTGTAGCGCTGGCGCAGGTGCAGGTCTGGCAGGGGGAGGGATTCCAGGGATGACGACGACGTGATGCAGATAATGATGCGAGCGAGCATGGGACAGCGGCAATATCGACTGTAGCGTGGGGGCATGGTCAGCCCCTCCGATTGGCCCCTTTTCCCCAGTTTCTTCGTGGCCTGATGGCCCAGATCAGGCTGCAAAAAATAATACCTGCTGCAGGTTTGGCCTGACAGTTTTCTCGGGCCTCCCACGACCCTCTGATGGCCTGTCTTGTAGTCCTAAGCCTGAAAAAAGGCCCAGCGCGGAGATGTGCTGGCAACACCTGCTGTACTCTGCCCGGCCGGGCGGCCTGGAAGGCCATCCAGGTACCTCCCCCTCCACCCAGGCTGCACGGGTTGTAACCCAGGTTGTCAGACCATTCAACCAAAAGAACTGTTTCTCCCCTGTTTTCTGCTGCACGCTGTCTTCGGCACTCTCTTCGCAGCTCTGAGTCTATCGGTGTGTCATTCCATGCACTCTTGCTCCCATTCTCTCTCACTCCCCCCCAGTCAGTCTCGTAAACTTGGGGCGTCATCTTGTTGGGTTGTATTGTGGTGATCCACCTACTACAGGGATATTCTCTAAATTTGGGGCGTCGTCTTGTTGGGTCTTTGCCAGCAGCCATGATAAGGAAGTGTAGGCTCTGGGTCTGCTGCCTGTTGAGCAGACCTCTGGGGAACCAGATTTGACCCAGATTTTGCAAGCCCAAACCCCATAAAAGGTGGTGTATGAACTCGATGCTCAGCCCGTGTCCTCTCTGGAAAAGGGCTAATTGTTGCTACCATCCTTTCCTTCACATGTTTTGTGATGCTGTTTCACCTGCTATGCATGTCTGTTGAGCTTGTTCATCTACTCCTGATGGAGATTGTGCTGTGTTTTTCAGAACTGTGGTGGGGAATCTTAAATTGCCAGCACATCGCCCAGGCAAGCTTGAGAAAAAAAAAATCGAGCCAATCTGAACATTCTGGGGCCCCGGCCTACCGGGGACCACAATGGCAAAGCTTGGCACGCTGTGCGGATCCGCCACGGCAAAAAGAGGCTCGGAGGTACTAGGCTTTCAGCTTAAATATGCGCACCCACTGTGGTGGTGGAGGGCAGGGTTACCGAGGCTTGCCTTTAGATGTCTGTAGAGAAGGGTGAGTGCTGAGGGCAGAGAAGGCTCTGCGGGCATAGATAAGGCCAGGTGGACGCATGCCACGCAGTGTGGGAAGGTGGTGATGCTCCATGGCGTTATCCCAGAAGGGGAAGAGATGGGTTATGGTTGAGGCACTTGTTTGAGGGGAAAGTGGATGATATAGTTGTGATGTTGTATAATTGATTGTACATAATGTTTAGGAATGCCAACAAGTGTAGGCAAATAAGGACTGCAAACAATTGCCAAAAGTGTGTTCGAGCAACCTTTAATCTTTTTCTGTTCTGATGCTGATCACCCCCTGTAGAACCCTTCACGGCCTCTGAGATCTGAATAGTATTGCTGTTATGCCGTCTTTGACGGGCTGCAAAATTGATGTGAATTTGACGAAGAGATTTGAAGAGATTTGAAGAAATTTGAAGTGCAAGTTGCCGACAAGACGTCGAGAATCATCTGTGAGTGTGCTCTTAAAATTGAAATGGGAAAAAAAAAAAAAACAACATTGAAATGGGGTGGTCAAGGGGGACCACAGAACTGCAATAAACTGGCATGGAGTCTGGTGTAAATATAGGAGGACTCACATTTGCGTAATTTATGGGCTTGAAAAGAGGGAAAGACTTCAGTGGGGAAGAACGAAGCTGGAAAGATGTGATGATGGCTTCCGTCGGAGGGACATGATGTTATGAAGGAATGGATGCATTTGGTTGGCCTTCTTGTCCTCCACTAATCAATGTCAATGTGCCTGTTGGTTTGGGGTGTATGTGATGGCGACGGTGCCATTTGCGGTTGTGTCGGAATTCATTATGTTCAGTGCGGATCAGCGTAAATGCATTTGAGCTGCCCGATGTAACAGTTGAGCTTTCTTCAGTGGCTTCCATTGCCACTCTACAGGTGCTGCTTCCTTTGGTCTCACTCTGCCTGTGTTAAACACCCCCCACCTCCATCCCCTCCTTCGTACTCCCTCCTCCTCCCTTCGGTCAATTACCATCCCTTCTCCTCCTTTGCCCTCCTCCCCTCTGTTCCTGTTCATTCCCATCCCTCACTTCTTCCCTTTCATGGTCAGGTCTCAGTCTATGCTTGTTGTCTTCCTGTTTGCTAGTCGTCGCCTGTTGGCATGCAGGAGATGGACAAGGACGTAACCATTTTTAGAAGCTTTTGCACCTCTAGCCTCTAGTTTTATTCCTCTGCCATTTCCCGGACGAGCTTGTACGAGTATTGTATCTTCTTCGCACCGGGTTCTGTATCCGGTTATGTACACTGCTATACAGTCATGTTCACTGCTGTCCAGTTGGCAAGTTGTTGTAGGATCGATTTGCGGTTCAATTCTGTCCAGTGACTCAGGCGTAATAAGTACTAGTAACGGCGGAGATCTCTTGGCATGAAGAAAAAGGGAAATACTAAATAGTATTTACTATTTAGTATTTACCTAGGCTGCCAGAGTGGCCCGGGGCCACTTGCCCGGCCGGGCCTACAAAAAATAAAAAAATAAAAAAATAAAAAATATTTTTTTTAACTTTAATTTTTATTTCAAATTTGGTAAASAATTTCGATGTGACCCTSAGGCAATAGTTGTTCAGTTTATTTTTCTGCATAACATAGTTTTTTTTCGATTTTTTTTTTTTTTTTTTTTTKYTTTTTGTTTTTGCTAGGACCTTCCCTGGTCCTTGCACGGCCGGGCCGTCCGGGAAAATAGGGTGACCCGGGCGGCCCGGCTGGTAGCCTAGGTATTTACTATTTAGTATTTAGCATAGCAGGTCCGACCAGAACAGGATATGTTCGCCTGTCAAGCTAGAGAAAATCTTTGAATGAAATTGTCTGTATGATTTGCATCATAAACTCTACGGTGGGTGAAGACTCTGGGGGTATCATTTGAGTAGAGTAAAAAAAGAAAGGTAGGGCGCCTGAGCTGCTAAATGAACCGCCTTTGCGTTGAAGAGAACTAGACCAGAGAGACAGTCAGTCCCAACATGATACGAGACTAGATCATCTAGATGTCGAAATCTAGTTCCAAAAAAATGGGCAGGCAGTGGTTCATGTACTTTTTTTTATACACATGCTAGCCTGTAGGCTGTAGGACAATTTTTTTCAAATGACTTTAAGTTTTTTTGTCTTTTTCATAGTGTGGAAGCCTTCCAAGTTCTGAGTTCTTACTTCATTACCATGTGATGATGGAGCTGGGTTTATTCAACTTTATTGAGATTAGGCCAGGGCTGGGCCAGCAACCGGCCGGATAACCTGCCCCTGTCCAACCGCGGCCGGACCGGTCCAGAGGGGGTGAACCGGAAAAAACGGATGCCCCCCAAAAATGCCCAATTTTTTTTTTTTTTTTTCTGATTGCAGCATCCGACTGCGCTCGCTGAGATCTGTCGGATTCTGTAATAAAACTTGCGAAGTGAGGATTTTTTTTTTATTGGGGGGGGTGGGGGTGGAGGTGGGGGGACGGTGTTTTTTTCTGACTGCGGCCCCAAGAAGAAGAAGAAGAAGAAGAAAAAGAAGAGGAGGAGGAGGAGGAAGAGAAGGAGAATCTGATACGAAAGATGGAAAAAAAATATTGCTATGGCTATGGCTCTGGTTCAACGGGGAGGGAAGCAGAGGAGCAGGAGAGGAGAAGGAGAAGAAGAAGAAAAAGAATAGTAGAAGAAAAACGCAGCAGCAGCAGTAGAAGAAGAAGAAGAAGAATCCGAGATGGGGGGGGGGGGGAATCACTACGGCTATGGCTCGGGCTCAATGGGGAGGTAGGAGGAGGAGGAGGAGGAGGAGGAGGAGGAGGATAAGACAAAGAAGAAGAAGACGTCGAAGAAGGAGAAGAAGAAGAAGGAGACGGAGAAGAAGAAGAGGAGGAGGAGGAGGAGGAGAAGAAGAAGAAGAAGAAGAAGAAGAAGAAGAAGAAGAAGAAGAGGATGAGGAGGAGGAGGGAAAAAGATGAAGAAGAGGACGAGGAGAACAAGAAGAGGAGGGAAAAAAAATGACGAGGACGAGGAGGAGGAAGAAGAAGAAGAAGAAGAAGAAGAAGAAGAAGAGGAGGAGGAGGAGGAGGAGGAGAAGAAGATGAGGAGGGAAAAATATGAAGAAGAAGAGGACGAGGAGGAGAACAAGAAGAAGAGGAGGAGGATGGAAGAAGATGATGAGGACGAGGACAAGGAGGAAGAGAAGAAGAAGAGGAGGAGGAAGGAGGAGGAGGAGGAGGAGAGGAAAACGAAGAAGAAGGGGGGGGGAGGAGGAGGTGGAGAGGAAGAAGAAGAAGAAGAAGAGGAAGAAGAGGAGGGGCGCTGGTGGACTTACCTTCGCGGCTATGGGGGGCGGTTGCAACAAAGCGGGCTGACGGGGCAAAGCAGCTGCAGAGAGAGGTCGGTGGCGGGCTGGAGACGGGCCGCTGGCGCTGGTCGCCTGGTGGCAGATCATGACGTCGACGCGCATGCAGAACGGCGCGACGTCAATGTCGTGCGTTCTTGCTGTAGCGTGAGGCACATGGGGCGGAGCGGCGGAGGCAGCGCATGGCGCTTTATCCAAATTTCAAAACGCGGTCGATTTCGGCCGCAGATCCGCAGATCTGCGGTCGACATCGACCGCGTTTTCAAATTTGACCCCGTTTTTGTTTGGAAACGCGCGGCCGATCTCCACTGTCGATCTGCGCGGATCAGCGGCGGAGATTGGCCGCGCGTTGCCAAACGAAATCGGGGTCCGGTAGGGCCAGTCTTTTTTTCCAACTGCTGGCGGCAGCCTCCCAGAGGCTGGGTGGGGATGGGGACGCCGGAAAATCCCCCGTACCGCCCCCCAAAATGGCTGCGCCGAATTGAACCGGAGGCCTGCCGGGCCAGTGAACCGGCCGGTCGGACTGGTAGGCTCCCGGTCGGTCGAAGGTCCCCCGGTCCATCCGGGGACCAGCACTGGATTAGGCATATTTAACTGATGACAGCTGAAGCAGATGTGATATGTGGTCAGGCATTGACATCATGGAGGGTGATATAAGGCATGCGACGAATTATTACTTAACCAAAAGTTCGAAAGTATCTTGAGTACAGTTGTGTGTGAGAATATCACATAGAGCCCCTATGCATTCATCCACTGACGTCCCAAAAAAAAAACGCATCCTGCAAAAAAACGTGCCCATTGATGGGTACATCATATATCTTTGTGGGGCATCAGGGGATATTTTCATACGAGCATTAGGTGATACTTTCTGACATGCGAGCAACGTCACATATATTTGAATAATTTGATCATATTAAATGATATTTTAGCATTCTTGGCATAGGTTGTTAACTAACTTGTTATGTGCATCTGTTTTCTTTTTTTTTTTCCTTTTTTTTTTT